AAACGCACCTCCACCTAACAACGCGAAATCCGTCGTATCTGCACTCAACAAGATATCCTTCAGCGTTATGCTATTCCCCTCCTCTCCTCCCTCTTCCCCGTACACATATCTCCGCCCATTCCCATTTCCATCCCCATCCCCATCCCCATCCCCATCCCCATCCTCAGACCCAGCACTACTCGACCCCCCAACATGCAACGACGGTAGCGATACCTTGGGCTCCTCAAACACACCAGGGAACGACTCCTTCGACGGGCGGTGGACCGTTGAGCCACCCCGCGTTTTGGTGCCGGTGAAGATGCGGTGTACTTGCACAGTCCCCGGCGTCTTGGTGTTCCGCGTCGTAGGGTACAGATGCGTCGGGGCCCCATCGGTGAAATCCATCGCTGCATCTATGTCGATCACGGTGGAGGTGTCCTGCACACTGTGGATAATCTCGTCGAGCTCTGTATCGGAGGAGGGGTTGGAGGGGTCGAGGTGGGAGGGATGAGGCGGCGCGAAGAGAGACGGGCGGCGCTGGGCTTGTAGGGTGAGTGAGGCTCGGATTGATTTCCGAACTTTGGGCTTGGGATGGGGCTGGGGGTTGGGGTTGGTCTTGTAATCATCATCGACCTTCGACTTCTGCTCCTTGTCCCCGAGCCTTGGCTTCGATTTCGTAGCCCCAACCTGCCCCTGCCCCACGCGCGGGATCTTCGACGACGCTTTCTTCGGCTCTACATCCGAATGTGGGAAAGGCAGCCGTGGGGCACTGAGGTCAGGCAGGGCGGGGTACGGGGGTAAGAGCGTGCCCCTGATCTCGTCAATCCGCGCTTCGAGTCCGAGCTCCGCATCGGGGAGCGAAATATTGAGATTGAGAGAGGCGAGCAGGGCGGGCGTGGGTGTCGTCTGTCATTCATTAGAAGAATTATCAATAACAGTATCACGAAACAGTGGTTCAGGCTAACCTCGAAGTCCACTGAGACTATCGGTTCAGGGTGCCACAAATCCAGCTTCAGCGCCGCATCTTCCTTCTTCTTGATATGCTTGCTGTTGTTGCCAATATTTCTCCGGTTGGGCTTGACACCCCGCTTCGCATCCAACACCTTGGCCCGTTCCGCAAGCTCCCGCCCTACCTTCTTGATCTTCGCGAGCGCCTCGATTAGCGCCTTGTGTGTCTGGGCCTCAGCTTCACGCCGGTCGGACAGCGCTAGGGGTGCGGGTGTAGGTGCGGATATAATGGATTGTGGTTGTGGTTGTGGTTGTGATTGTGATTTGGCAAGGGCATTGGCGCTGCTGGTGGTAGGAAGGATGGGTTTCCGGATTTTCTTGAGGTATGCGGGGTGGTGCGCTGCTGCTATTGGTAGCGGTTGGGGCTGGCCTTGAGGCGGGGCAGACGAGTGCTTTTTAAGTAAATTGTGTGAGCCTCGTTGGAACGAGCACGCAAGTAGGTGTCAAGTCGACTTACGTTCACCCTCAAGTTCGATTGTAGGATATCAGCCTTTTCTTCCGCTTCCGCTTCAAGCTCATCGTGGATAACGACGATCCCCGCGGCATTGATCAAGAACTCTAACGCCCTCCTGCCGTTAGGACCTTCCCAGGACGTGCGCAGGAGATCCTCGTGTTTGGAGCGGACGAGGCTGTGGAGCCGGTTCGTAGGAAACGTCGTGTATTTCGTTTCGCCGCTTTGGCTTGGGGAGCGGAGACGGTCCTGGTATGGAGATTAGTTATCAGGATTGCAGTATTGCAGTAGATGACATGGGTACTGACGCGCACAAAATGGAGCTCTGCTTCGCGGTGTAGGAGGAGAGAGGCGGAGTAGGCCCATGAGTGCCGGGAGGCTTTAGATTTTGTGAGGAGGTCATTGTAGGTGGTGGGTTGGGAGCGGAGGGTTGTCTGGGTGGGTTAGATTTCGAGTTACTTATATATGATATAATAGTTATGTGAGGTGTAGGGCGTACGTTGAGATGTTCGAGATCAATTTGGGCAGAAAGTTTTGAGGACCCTTTCAATAGGGCGTGTGTGGAGAGTGAGAGAAGCAAGCGCTCGAATCTGTGCTATAGGTGAGACGATGGCACTACAATAAGATGATCAATATTCAACGCACCTTTCACCAGCACACTCTTCCAACAGGGACTTACGCACGACTACGTCTTTCCACCACCAAGCCACCGCATTGCTATTAGGATTACTTGGTGCTTTTGTTTTTGTGGATTCTTTCCCCTTCAGCTTCGATCCAGGTGCGGTATTGGTGGTGGCTTTCAGTGAAGACGAAGGAAACACCGAGTTGTGCCGTAATGTCTCCAAATACTTTGATACAGACGTGCGGAACGCGAGAGTATCAGGGGGTGCTACACATGGGTAGGTAGTTAAGATCTGTGAACATTACCATGAATTACTTGCATGCAATAAGAAGATATAACGTACCGTCTTGGCACTAGCAGTCCCCTCAAGTCTTCCAACGAGAAAATAAGATATATCCTCGAGCGACTTGGTCCGTTCCTTCAACCCACGAACACGCGGCTCGAACAGGTTGGGGTCGTATTCCGGTTTGTTGGCGTGTGGATATTCGAGGATGTGTAGGTGTATTAGAAGGATGAGGGGTATGGGAAGAGAGAATACGGTGGCGCTGGCAGACATCGCGTTGACATCGAAGACAAAGTTGGACTTGAATGATTGATTATGACCGATCGGAACTCGGATTTACTCACCCTGAAACTACCCTCTACGATCACTTAGACTGGAATACACTACTTATAAAGCCCTCAACATCTTGTATCATATATTCTCATGATGATCTCAGCCAAG